GAATTCTCTTCTTTCGTTTATCACAAATAGTTTGAACTTTTAGATGATGTAGTTTAACATGAAATCAGAGTAACAAAAATTCCGGGCTCAAGTCTCAATGCCATCTATTTATGTAAATTCCACGTGTCAGGCCATTGATTAGAAAATTTGGCAAGCACGCGAGGGGGCATGTTGAAGATTAAATATAATAAATTCCTCTTTACTATAACACCTTAAGCTTCTAGATGAGGTGTTTTAACAAAGACCCCTCAAGTGTCTCTAGACTTCCAGTGTCATTACAACTTTTGAGACACAGCATTTTAGAGTGGTCTTTTGGTATGACATCAGATCAATACCATGAACGACGTGGGAGTTTCTAGACTTGTTCTCTCTTTCTTTCATGCCTCCTATTTGTTTATGTCCCTTCCCCACTTCACGTCTTCCTTTTCCCTGAAAATTGTCTTTCACTAACTAAAGTTCAAATACGTGCAAAAAAGGGCTGTCCAAGTTATCAAATTTGGAGTTCATGAGGTTTTGATATGTAAGCATATTTTTTAAAATTTGACAACTACATTTCCGTCTATATATATATATATATGAGTGCATGACAATGGTGTACATCCAAGTGTTTAATTAATTAATTAATTTATTTATTTGTACAATGAATGAGACCCAGCCACATGATATTCATGTTGAAGAATCCAATAAGTAACAGAGGTTGCAAGTACCTTATCTGTTACTTTTTCTTTCATATTCTTATATAATGATTATCAATCCATTCTTGTCATGCAGAATCTTCTTTTCGTGAAGGAAATTGACACACCAAATCGCTTTGGAGGAATAGGATATATGGGGTTTGAAAAGCTCACATTTGTTCCCATTCAGGTATTTTAACTCAACTGGTATTTAAATGTCCTTCGTGTGATCAAATTGTCAAGTAAAGAAGTTTGGTCACATACATTAAATTAATGGTATGGTTTGGCTTCACGTCAAAACACAAGGATCTATTTTTGTCTCACTGGGATTTAAAATGGTCTTTGAGTCGTTGACAATCCTATGGTTCCAGCAAGATAGTTTTATGTTAGTGCAAAAGTAAGCATTAATACATACCACCAGTGATTCAAGAAAAGCAATTATTAATTTCTGCAGTTGAGGACATAGTTTCTATGTGTGTGCAGTCATATACCGCAAACAGTGGCTAAAAATTATCAGTACGGAGTTTCATTCGGTGACATTTTGTTTCTTTTCTTAGCCTTCTAGTTACACACACACACCCCGCCCCCCAAAACCTACCTTGGGAATTATGAATTATAAAATTTGTTACAGATTTAGTGGAAGATCTGTAAAATATGCCGGTGGCAGAGGGAAGATGGGATCATGGCCACCCTAAAGTGGCCAGAAATCTCTCCTATCATGATTCAAAATTACACTATTTTGTTCAAGTTGTAAAGTTGTAGTCATAGGTGGCCCTTTACATAAATGACCAGCACAAAGTTTCAGCTCTTTCTGCAGGGAGCTCAGGCTACGTTACTGCATATTTCATTAGGGTTCAGCATTATAACCTGCTTTGCATTCATTAAAAAGTCTTTTCTGTTAATATAATGTGATAATATCTGACCACCACTGTGTAATTTCTGGTATATCTAACTTTTACTTTCACTCCCACTCACAAGGAAACATAGAAGAAAACACCACTTGCAAATTTCAAATGTTTTTTTGAGAAGCTGGATAATTTCATTACAAAATTGATCTTGGGAGTTCCTAAATGCCTGTTAATTTAGAAAAGGATCAGTAAGGGTCTTCATAAACATCATCAGCTTGTAAATTATAATAGAAAATAAAGGTATCATAAAAATAACACCTATTCATGCGGCCTTTTTCACCCGATCCCCAAAGCTGATACCTGGGATCTGTGCCTTATTTTTACCTTATAATGGAATGTATTTTTCAACATTCTCATGATATACTTTTTATTTGCAACTCATTAAAGGTATTTACGATGCACAAAATTAATTTTCTTCTTCGTATGTATTTAGTCCAGGACCACGGTACTATGCTGTCCATCCTACCAAACAAGGCCTAAATGCTTTTCATCTATGACTAATTAAAATTCGTTTTCACCGCGCAGACCAAAATGGTTGATTTATCCCTACTATCTACTGCTGAGATCGATTGGCTCAATGATTACCATCACCAAACTTGGGAAAAGGTAAGCAAGCAAATGTCTCAATTTGTTCAGTTTGGAGATCCCAAGGAGTTCGGTAGGGTAAATTGGTCTTTTGAGTTTAAATACATGTATTGGAGGCTGTCAAAAGCTCAAGTCAACAGGTGTTTGTACATCAATCCTTCCGTAATTACTCTTTCAATGGGGGTATCTACCCCTGCACAATCTATTCATTTGGTACCTTGAGAATCTTTTCCTTCACTAGCGAACACATGTTGTGCTTTTCAAGAACACTGGAACTACCAAACCACAACTTGCTAGCCACTCACACTGACAACCCCAGGTAGCTCTAGTCTTACATGCTGATCCGTTTGAGCCCTGAATCACACAGCAACAATTCATCTAAACACATGAGAAAATAGTTTCTAATAGGCTATTTGCATATATCTTTACGTTGACTTGTTAAAAACTTTCGTTGGTACATAAATTTATGTCAAGGGATGTTGTCCACAGGTTTCGCCGTTGGTGTCTGGTTCTGTACGTCAGTGGCTGTGGAATAATACGAGGCCAGTGGGCAAACCTAATTAGCTTTTGTACATAATGGGTGCTTAAGGTTTTAGAAGGGTAATTTACTTGTACACAGAAATGACTGTAAGTTTCAATACTGCATAAACAATAACTTGCACTCCTGTCGGCGCGATTTACTGGAATTTTATGGCTTCTTGCTCGTGTCATGTAAATGATTAAGGCTATGCTCGTTGAAAACATAGAAAAAGAAATGGCCAAACTGTTTAGTTGATTTACTTATTTATTTTGCAATGTAGAATGTAATGTGCAAAATCCTAAAATATGGTTATTAGCCACGAGTTTCCAAAAGATTTAATTTTCACTGGTGATCTGACTAATTTATTTGTATGCTCTTTTTCTCATTCCTCGATTGACTATGTTATTTCGACTATCCAGATCAATACTTTTATAATTTGTGCAATAATTTCTAGCTTGTCGTCCGTACATTATTATTGTTGTTTTTTTTGGAAAATACCCTAGCTCGAAAATCCAAGTCATAGGATATGAATTTATTAATGAAAAGTCAATTACAATGCGAGGAGGGGAACATATGTGCCTTACCTCCTAAAAAATTGCAATTGTACTCTATGAAGTCTCCTGATGAATTACAAATCATGCAACAAAGTTAAAAGTGGAAAATACTCAAAATCTGATTAAGAAACTAGTCTAATATACTCAATGCCAATTTTATCAAGATTCACAATACCTTTGAATTCATTAGCTTCAACAAATTTAAACTTTCTTTTACTGTATCCTTTGGAAGCACGCCAGTCTGCAGCTTGGTTTCCTTCTCTCCATATGTGAGTAATTTTATTTTCCATCTTCTCCAAAAACCAACGAATGGATTGCAAAATATATTAAACAGTCCATGGTCCATTATTTTGTTTAATCAAGGTTAGTGCTGCCTCTGAATCTGTCTCTACCCAGACCTTC